GTTTTTTTGAGAACATTTTATTATCCAGTTTGTAAGTAGCAATAAGTGTTTGTGTGATTGTTCATTGCCATGAATCTCCTTAGATAGTGCTGTGCCCCCAGCAAGACCTTGGTACTTGATTTTGGTTGTCCGTTGTTGGATCCGTCTGACGGAACCTTGCTACTGTACTCTGTTCTGTGGTTGGTGTTTTATAATATAAAAACGGGGGGAAACCCTTTTTTGTCAATCTCCTTAGATAGTTAAAATGACAAAAGCTCACAACCCAACCAAGTACGTACCAAACCAAAAGACAAGCAGGTTGCTACAACCATGTAAATGAATACTACACACATGCATCAGAAATTGATACGTAAGTAAATAAACACACTAACAAACAAGTTGAAGCACAAAACGAATGGAACAGGCACAGGTGCAGTTGCAAGATGGGTCCTCATTGACAGGTCGAGCACTGGTCCGCTGCCGTGGAACCAAAAGACGGCGCGCAGAGAGAGACTTCTCTGCTCTCTCGCCTGATGCATCGTCGCCTCCTCGATTTCAAGCCACCTCCGCCTCACCGATGCCCCTGGCTCGCCTCCCCCTCCTCCAGCAACTTTTGCCCGTGGATCAGCGGTGGCGGCGGCATCAAATCCAGGGCAGCGGCGGCCGCTAGGCTGAGGACAGAGAGTGGGGACAAGACAAAACGGGATCTGCCAGTGGCGGCAGATCAAGGGCTTCGTGTTCAGTCAACCAATCCATCTGAATACATTCTCATTGCTTATTTGATTCCTGGGATAGAGAAACACACGGATATGAAAACCGCAGAATTGCAGTGACTTGTAAAATTGCAGCGATGCAGAATTGCAGCAACCTTAATCAGACAATGGATTAACACAAATCATCAACAACATTCGCGCAAGAAGTCAGAGTAATAGTTCAATTATTATTACAACAATCAGTCCATAGCTGACAAATCACACACCACAAGGTCCACAACACAAATCACACACGAGTAGCATGCATAGTAAGCAACATGAGCAGGCAGGTCGCTCATACTGCCCAGGCTGAATGCACTCGCATTTATTTCTCCATCTTGATCAAAGCCTGCCGTCGTGAATCCATTGGACATGGATCTTCGTATGATGATGCCGTCGTGACGGCCACCCGCACGGCTTTTCATTGGTATTCGTCGAAGGTTGTCCTCCTATCATGGCAATCGCCCCTGTAAATTTCAAACATGGGCGCTGCATTTTTCGCATCTTATTGGACACAAACAGAATGACAAAACATTTGGCTTTTGAAAAATGATGAAGCAAAGGAACACTTGGTCAGAAGAGTGGTCGCCGGAGAAGGGAGTCAGTGGCAGACCCAGGAAAACGGCAGGTCCAACGCCAGCTTCGAAGCATTGTAGATACAATGTTGTTCTGTAGCTACAATCAACAAAGGGAATCGCCATCACGCCCCAGCCGGTCACCCGGACTGCCTGGGCCTAAATCCGCCTCTGAAGGGAGGGGGGTGACGTCGAGCTAGCAATGCCCCGTTTGACATATTTTGTGTTTCTTCTTATTACTGCTAGAAGAAGGGGGGAAATCGATAATCCACTTCTGAGCCCGGTTCCAGCTGCACCTGCGCTGGCGAAAAAAAAAATCAAAGCAAATACAAAAAAAATCAAAAAATTCAAAATTTCTTTGTGTGGTAGATAATTTGATGTGTGAGATCCGCTTCAATTTTTAAATCATTTGGACATCCAAGCAGCTCTCGGCAAAAATGACAGATTCGGGCTCTGTAAAAAAGTTTAGTGTTCACGCATGGTTCTGACCACATTTGTCTTTTTTGCTGAGAGCAACTCCGATGTCTAAATTATCTGAAAATTGAAGCGGACCTCACGCGATAAATTTCCTACCACTAAATTTTTTTAAAAGTTTTTGAATTTTTGAGTTTTTTTTTTGAAAAATTGTTCATTCAAATCACGAATCAGTACAGAGTAGGTGACCCTTACAAGCACACTGAAACGCAAAAACAAAGGACCATGAACACCTAAAATACCCTAAGACAACCATAACACAAGAAGATCTCCGGAGCCCTGTGTCATCATCCCTGAATCTTAAGAGAAGACCCCTGCAGCAGAAGGATCTGCAACCAGACGCAAACATGTCATCATCTTCGACCACGGTACAATTGCCGCCACGCTGCTTCCCCCTTTCTTGACACCAGCGCTGAGAGGGCATGGACATCAATCCAACACACCTGCAACAGCCGTCGCCATCTTTGGCTTTGAGTACCCCGAAAAGTGTCCCTTCCGGAAGGAAGAGAACTCGAGTCATCCGACCGGTCCAGCACCGCGGCCGGGCCATCCGCCCGGGCAAAGCAGGACCTCCCACCAGCATCAGCGCAGAGGAAGGAGAAGAGCAGCAGCAGCAAATCGTACCAACAAGGAAGAAGAAAGGTCTTCGTCTCCCTACTTCCATCGCCCATCTGAGGATCCAAACGGCCAGTGCCGATGGACCTCCAACCACCATAGCCCGCGACCTCGACGAGATCCGGGGATCCCGGACACCGCTGGCTCCTAGACGAAGGCAAAAGCCTCGCCTGACCGCGAACGGAGCCCGGAGAAACTTATTCCGACGCGACACCACCGCAACGGCCTCGGCAGCGTCTCCCTCAACCCTAACCCTACTACACACCCACCTAGTGAACAGACCCGAGGTTCCCCCTCCCTCCCGCCGCCGGAGCGGTCGACGGAGAGAGAGGGAACCGGCGGCGTCACCGGTGGCGCGCAAAGGACCCCTAGTCGCCTCCCTGATCGCCTCGAGCGATCCAACTTTTCCGGGCGTGCGGTTAGGAAACAATAGCGTCAATTTAATTTTTGAGTTTTTTGTAATTTTCTTTCTAACCGGGTGGAGATGAGTCCGGACATCGAGACGCTGCACTAAAAAGAAAAAGGATCACGTTCGTACCGTGAAAAAGATGCCACGTTTGACCCTCAAAAAAAAAAAGATGCCACGTTTGTAACCTCGGTTTGATCCGGAGCCGGACGTGTCCCGTCGCGAAGCTTCCGAACGTGCTGTAAAGTCTTGCCGAGTTTGCCCCTGGCACCGCCAATTATTTATCCGCCCCGTGCCATCGGCACCCACCGTAGCAAAGTCACAGATCCAGACCGGGCGGAACCCGCTCCCCCCATCCATCCCCACCTCTCGCGATTAGGGTTTCCGCCGCCGCCGCCGCCGCCGCCGCCGCCCGTCTCGCCCGCCGGCCACTCCTCCTCACCCCGTCCCCAGCGAAGCGCCGGTCGCCGCCGCCGCCGTCATGTACGGGCACCGCGGGTAAGCTCCTCTCCCATGCCGGGAACCTTTCTCGATTCGCCTCGGTACGGGGCGGTTTCCTCTTATTCCGCCTGTGGGTTTGCGATTGGCGTGCCTTAGACGGTTTAGGATGTTAGTTTACTCGGTAGATTTGGGCTTAGTGGTCCCTTAATTGCCGTGTCCCGTGTAGATTGCATGGTTAGCCTCCCTGTTCTGGGATTGGATTTAGAATCTGTAGTCTGTTTTGATTTGAACCCGTCTGCTGTGTTAGTTTTGTCTGCAAATCTGCGCGACGTGCCTTGACGTTGCGGGTGTGGTAATCTGTCCAAGGTCAATTCGAACTTTTAGCCATATCCATTTATAGGTTAAAAATCCAATTAGTACTGTTACTATCCATCCCACCTGATTGTGCCCTAGCAAAGATATAGAAACCTGTTTATCCTAAGTTAGGCCTTTACACCGTAATGGTTGTCTCAGTGTGTGATTCCGCATGGTAATACTGGATGCATAAAACTTGGTTTGGTATGGAATTGGCAACCTGTTTAATCTGTTAGTTTACATGCTAATTTCAACATAGTATCCCTTAATCCTCATGCTAGTTTCTTTATTCTGCGATGCACATCATTGTTATTTGTTCTGAACCTGTCTGTTATGTCAGTTTTCATGTGAGAACCTTGCTGTGGTAGTTTATCGCAAAGCTTGCGGTTGTGATAACCTTAGTCCGACCCATTTAGGTTGTATACCGAGTTAATATTGCAACAGTAGCAGCTGATCATTTGGAAAAGAAATATAAACCTGTTTCTTGTGTGCAGTTGTTCAAACCTGGTGCTAATTTAGGCCTTTTAATTCATAATGAACTATGCTCATGGTCTCCATATGTCGTTCAGCATGATAATAATGTACGCATGAAACTTTGCTGGTACCATTATAGCTCAGACTTTACAACATTAAAAGGGGAAGTATGCTCTGTTAATAGTCTGCATGCAGGACAAAGTTTGCCCCCAGTGAATTATGTTTTGAAGCACCAGCTGTTGAATTAATGAATAATGTTGATAATTACTGAAACTTGATCTGTTTTATCTTTTTGCCCACTTAATGCTTGGATTAGATAGTAACTATTTGATGTACTTTGCTGCTCAATTTTTACGCACAACATAATATTCTGCTACCCATGTTATCACGTTACTTGCGTTCAAGTAATGAATGTCGTTGCATTTCAGTTCTGTTTACCTGCCAAGCATTAATTCCTTCTGTAGATTATTTAATTTATGAGCAATTACTTCTCTTTATATGTTTGGGTTATTTTTTATGAAAATGGGATTGAGAGATGGGGGGATATTCTCCTTTTTCTTTTTGGGATTGGATTATTTGAAGGGCAATGATGGGAAGCGGGGGGGTTTCGGATGGGTACGAGGGATCAAAGAGGCCACGAATGATGGAATCGAATCCATACTTCGCAGTGAACGCAGGGAGCCCGTTGGACGTCTCAAAGCGGGCCAGGATGATGGAGCCAGGCCCCCCATATTTTGCAGGCATGGGAAGCAGCGCTGGTGGCAGCGGCAGCGGCTACTACCCTTCCTACGGCGGCAACATGGCTGGTGCTGCAGGGGTTAACAGTGGCATCCAAAACTTCCCAGCGGTCCGTCTGCGAGGGCTCCCTTTTGACTGCGAGGATGTTGACATCAGCAAGTTTTTTGCTGGGCTGGACATAGTGGACTGCCTCCTGGTCCACAAGAATGGGCGCTTCTCTGGCGAGGCCTTTGTTGTCTTCCCTTCATCCATGCAAGCAGAGTTTGCGCTGCACCGCAACAGGCAGAACATGGGCAGGAGGTATGTGGAGGTTTTCAGATGCAAGAAGCAGGATTACTACAGCGCGATAGCCGCCGAGGTGAACCAGGGCGGTCCTCTCCTTGAGCCAGAGCACCGGCACTCGTCGCCTCCTCTGCGGTCCAGGAGGCTGTCTGAAGACAAGAGCAGCATGGAGTACACTGAGGTGCTGAAGCTGCGCGGGCTCCCCTACTCCGCCAGCATCGAGGACATCATCAAGTTCTTTGTGGAGTACGAGCTGACGGAGGAGAACGTGCACATCGCGTATCGCGGGGACGGCAGGGCCACTGGCGAGGCCTTTGTCGAGTTCCCGACGGCCGAGGTTGCAAAGACTGCCATGTGCAAGGATAAGATGACCATCGGGACGAGGTACGTGGAGCTGTTCCCGTCGACCCCGGAGGAGGCGAGCAGGGCCAAGCCGCGGGGCAGGCAGTGAGCGGTGCCCTGCGAGACTGCTGAGCCCTGGGTGTGAGAACAGCTGCTGCATCTCGTTCCAGTTTCAGCCTTTTCGCTCTTGATGCTTTATAATTGTATCGATCATGTCGGATTGTGTTTAGTTTGCGCTCCTGTTTCTAGCTGTGTGGAGACATTTTCTGATGAGACTGTCTCGAACTGCCTCTTGAAGGAAAAAGTGGTGTATGCATGAGATATTTTGCTGAGTTTGTAGTAACTGTTACCATCCTTCGTTTGAAGAAAGCATTTGTACCTCGTGTTATTCTGTGGGCAGAGATTATCTGTAACCTTTTGATTGCTTTTGTTGTTTTCTGATTACTCATCATGCAAAAACCCTTGATTATGTTAAAAAAGGCTCACTGGTTTAGCTGAAAATGTCTCCACCTCTGCTGTAGTAGTGGTAATGTTAGCCTTGCGATTGTTGTATACACCTCTGTTGCACGCTTACTCTGAAGGTCTCCGTGTTAATCTCCGAGAGAAAACCTGCTTGTTCGTGTCAAGAACTACAACTTGTGAACTTTGCCAGTAAATTTGTAGAACTAAAGCATCGGTGCATTAATAGTCTTCGGCGAGGTGCAATACATCTTCTTTCTTGTGAGGGCATATGTACTTCTCAACAGTACCTTCTCGCCTAACTTGGTAACTGTATTGCAAAATGATGTATGCATGTTGCAAACCCAACCTTGGAGGCTCGGAGATGAGGTGATCGGACATGTATGTGCCTAATAGATTCATTTGACCTCATCAGTCATCACGGTAGATCAAATCTTAAAAAACAACAATTCTCACCCTGCCATTTGACCATGTGTCCTGGGTGGATGCCCTAAGAAATTCAATTTGTCTCAACCACATTAATCCAAGTGAAGGGGTAGGTCTAAAGTTTTTTGTTTGAGAAATTGAGAACACAGTACAATGGAGACCCTCACCATGCAGTCACTCATATGTGGACACACATGACACTCAGGATCAAGGTACACTCATATGTGTACCTGACTAGGCCGCTGCATGAAGGAGGCCTCGATTCTCACCCTGTGTCCCTCATCGACAGGGCCTGCGAGCTGGCCGCGGCCAATGTCTCCGGCGAGCGCGCTGGGTGTGGCGGCCGACTGCATGCATGTCCCTGAGCGCCATGGGCTGTGCCATGATGTCCTGAGAAACACCAAGCACGTCGTCATACTTGATAGGCTGGTCGGTTTGCCAGGCCTCCTCGATCGGTCGATTGGCACTCCGGCCTCCGGCAAAGTAGCAGATGGTCTGTGCGTCTTCTCTGTCAAGGCTGGTTTTTTACTTTTTCGAGAGAACTGCTAGAGATGGGCAAAGCAGGTTAGTGGGGTCCCGATGGGTTAAATGGGATAGCCTATTTAAAATTTATGACGTCCCATGGGTCCACTAAACAATTTAAGTGGGATGGGCTAAGTTAGTCCCACTATTATCCACTCCCACCCGCGGTCTGACATATGTGAAATTGGCGAACTCACCACGTAAACCTTGTACTACCTCCGTTTTTATTTACTCTGCATACTAGAGTTGACTGAAGTCAAACTTGTAACTTTGACCAAGTTTATGGAATAAAGTACAAATCTTTAATATAACAGATCTATATGATGTGAAAGTATATTTCATAATAAATCTAGTGGTATTGATTTAGTATTGTATATGTTAATATTTTTGTTTATAAATTTTGCCAAAGTTTACAAAGCTTGATTTTGACTAAAGCTAATACACGGACTAAATAAAAATGAAGGGAGTAGTCCATAAGGACGTCATCTCCCACCGCCCGTGCAAAGTTAAGAACTTGAACCTGGGCCGGCAATTTCCGCCACAAGAAACCTACCAATTGAGCACACTTCGCATGGAGGTCTAAATTTTAGCGAAAATTACTTTGCGTACGACACATTCATGTCACATAGCAATTGGCCGGGGAGCAGAACTAATCGATGGTGGCTAAAAGCATGTGGTACAAAAATCGGACGCTTATTGTCCTACTTGTAGCACTTCTCGAAATTTAGTGCAGATAGTACATGGGAATTTAAATTTTTGCTCTATACTCGACCATGGTTGAGACGGATCCCAACATATCCATGTAGTGGTAGGTATAACATTTGGACCAGAGGGAATTCCGCCGCATGCGTGGGAGCGAGAGGTCGCGGAGGCACTTCTCGGCTCTGCTTGCTTGGTGGACTCGGTGGCGGTCGAGACGAGCGCGCGCCGGGACCTGTCTGCATTCAGGCTCTCGGCGTGGTCGGCGGACCCGAATAGCATCCCCTCGCTGCGCTGGTTGGCCGTGCCGGAACCGGGACTGGTCACGCCGCTCCTCGATCCAGAGCTCCTTTCAGTACAAGATTCTCATACACATGGACGCGGTGAGTGAGTTCGAGGGAGCGGATGAGCCCTGGTTCGTAAGGGCGTCGTCGGAGAGCGATCAGCGCGGGCTCCCGGGCGCCGACGAGAGCCCCATGGGTGGTCGTGGTGGAGGCGAGAGGAGTCACACGAGGAGGCCGCCCTGGAGCTTCGGGGTGAGAGATCAGCGTGGCCGTGGTGTTCATGGAGGGCAGGCGGCCGATACTCCTCCGGCGCCGACCGCAACGCCGGCGACGAGCTCGGGTCCTGGCTCTGATTGGCGCATTCCCCCCATGACCCCCCCTGACTGTCCTGTCAGCGAGTGGGGCCTCTCTCCCCATCTAGAGCAGGCTGACGCACGGGAGCGGCTACAGGTCAATCGACTGAGCGTACATTGTGGCAGGGGCGGACCCAGGATGAAAATGTCCTGGTGTCCACGCCTAAATTACACATATGTGGACACCAAGCTATGTTATGCATAAAACTAACATGTTCAACCATTGTAGATATGCAGTAGTAAAAATGCTTAACAAAATACTGGTCTACTTGTAATCGTTGTTGATTATATGAAGTTTTGTGCCCAAGTTGAACAATAACGCATAAAAACTTTGAAGACAAATTTAATCGGCTAAGGCTACACTATTTATGTTTGAACAGGCTAACATCGAAACATAAAATAAAACATATTGATTGAATTTATAATTATGAAGATGTACTTACTTACATTATGTTGTAGGAATACTGAGTTGTGCATTCAAAGGTCGAGGAATAATCCATATAAATGAGAACAACTTGGACTTGATTCTTACTTACCAACACGAGCAAATGGTAGTAATTCAATTCTTAACTGTGGCATCCTTGAAACTAAAAGCCCTAGACCTACAAAAAAAGTTGTATAGGTACGCACTTGGACTTGATTGTGCTCCCTCCGTAAAGAAATTTAAGAGCCTTTAGATCACTAAGGCTCTTATATTTCTTTGCAAAGGGAATAGCGACTTGCGGTACTTCTTTCATCAATTGTCCAGCGATTAGGCGAATAGGCCATGGCAGCACGGACACTTCAATGGCGATTGGGCGGGTGGATGAGGCGATGCCATGATGAATCTTTGCAGGGGGAGGCAAGAAGCCATGAGTAGGCGCAAGTTTTTTTAGGCTTGCACTAAATAAAAGCGATCAAATTAGTTATTGAGAATCTTATCCTTCCTTATATCTACGATACAGTATATCGCAACGTTGTTGTAGCTAACAACACTTCCTGAATCATAGGCACGCATACCTAGGGTGGGCATATATAAACCGATGACCGAAGTACCGATCCGAACTAATCGTGACCGAACCCAAAGGCACCGAAACCGAATTCTTTGACCATAAATTCGGTCAGCCAATCTGAAAAACCGATCTTTCTTCGGTCAATTCGGCTGTAGGTATCGAGTAACCGAATACACCGAAGTACCGAATAAATCGATAGACTCTGCAGAATCCCATGTAGCCACGGCCCACACAGCCCAACTTCTAGGCTTGGAGATCGATAAATCAGCGGCGCCTCGAGGAAAATCCTATATGCCGCATATTGCGTCAAGATGTCGAGGCTTCGCACAGGATTCAGCAGGGGACGACGCAATCTGGGCCGGCCCGTTAGCAGTTAACCTAGCAACGGTTTTCTCCGGTTTTGGGAACCTTCTAGAAGGTTCCCTGAATAGGTTTTTCCTTTTTCCTGTTGTCTTTTTGGCTGGTTTTCATTTCGTTTTTTCTTTCTGTTTTATTTTATTTTAGTTTTCGTTTTTATCTTTTCTGTTTCTTTCTTCCTTTTTGTTTATTTTTTCGAAAATTTCAAATTTTATTCAGATTTTCGAAAAATGTTCCTCTTAACAAAATTTATTCAGGATTTAAAAAGTGTGCAGGAATTTCAAAAAACTCCTGTTATAAATTGTTCACAAATTCAAATTTTGTTCAGATTTTCAAAAAATATTCCTCTTAACAAAACTTGTTTAGAATTTACAAAAATGTTCCCGTTATCAAAAAATGTGCAGGAATTTCAAAAAAAATCTTCCTGTTATAAATTGTTCACAAATTCAAATTTTGTTCAGATTTTTAAAAAATGTTCCTCTTAGCAAAATTTGTTCAGAATTTTTTTTTCACTTTTCAAAAATGTGCAGGAATTTCAAAAACAATCTTCCTGTTATAAATTGTTCACAAATTCAAATTTTGTTCAGATTTTCAAAAAATGTTCCTCTTAACAAAATTTGTTCAGAATTCAATTTTTTTTCACTTTTCAAAAATGTTTATAAATTTCAAAAACAATCTTCCTGTTATAAATTGTTCACAAATTCAAAAAATGTACAGGAATTTATTCACAAATTCCACAAATAGTTCACGTTCTGTTAAAATTTGTTGAAATTCAAAAAACGTTTATTATCCCAAAATCTGGTCTGAAATTTTTGAATGTTTGTGGTCGCAATTTTTTGTTCGGAATTTCATGAGAAATTCCACTTTTGCACTTTATGTTAATAAATTCTAAAAATGTTCATAGTTATAAATTTTTGTTCAAATTTCATGAAATGTTCCTTTTTTAATTATTTGTTCAAAAATTTAAAAAATGTTTGTAGTTCCAAAATTTTGATCAGAATTTCATAATTCCTATAT